CTCTCTCCTTCCTTCTCTCTCTCTTCTTCTCTCTCTTCCTCTCTCTCTCTCTCTCATCCCCCTTCCATTCTTTTTTTTTTCCTTTGCAATAATTTGAAAGAGGAAATAACTTTTATAGGATTATCTTCAAATAAAATAGATATGGAAATGGATAAATTTTAGTAAAAAAAAAAAAAGAAGAGACAGAAAAGGGAAGGAAAAAAAAAGAAATGCGGGAGAAAAATCAATAAGAAATATTTGTTTAGATAAAAAGGGAATATTTTTGGAGGACATTTCATGAGACAAAAAGTACTCGCATCCTATTCAATCTATTTTTAAACCGGACGATAAATTTTTGAAAAGTAATTAAAATATAAAAAACTTTTATAAAGTATGACCTTGTCCTTAATTTTTTTTTTAAATGATTAATTCACTCATTTTTTTTTTTGTCTCTTCTCATTCCATTTACCACTTTTTTGAATAAAGACTATAATTTTTTAAATCACTGTTAAATATAATTACTTAATTCTTCTTTGATTTCTTCCACCTGAATTTGAGCTTCATTATGAGCAAATGGATAACAACCGAAGAGAGGAAGAGTAGATTGATTGATACAAATGAAGAGGAAATTTGATATGATTCAAAAATAAATGAATATATTAGAGAAGGTAGTTCAATCGAGATAATTCCCGAATAATATCGTCTAGTTGGAATAGTTTCAGGAGAATGTAGTCTATTCGGAATGGTTCCCTGATAAGATAAAGTGAAATTATGACACATTAAATATTTCTGTAATAATTATGTCGGAAAAAATCAGAGAAATTCCGAATCACTATGCATAATATTTTAATAATCAGGAAGATATTGCTTTATATACATAAGCTTAGAAAGTTGCAATTTTTCGGAATCATTGGAAGAAACTAAGGGAACTAATAAATCACTTTTGCGAACCTTTTTCTTATCTTCCTAACCTGACCACAATCTTTTATTTTCCAGTTTCCGGTTTCTGCAATTCAAGTTCAAAGTACTTTTAAAAATGATGTAAACTAAATTTCCGAATCTCACTATCATCAATTATAAAATTACATTCATTCCCGCATTTAGTAACATATGAAAGGATGCTTTCCTGAATGTATTCTCAATTAACAAGTGAATATTCTATGCAACAAATTAGCTAACAAGAAAGTTTCAAATTTTTGAATAGTTTCAAGAATTTCGGATCACTTCCGGAATTACAGAGAATGATATGTTCGGGATGGGATGATGGAAACTTTGGAGTATCGAATAGTTTCGAATTAGTGAATTCTTAAAACGATTGATTGGTTGCAGTTAGGATAGAGAAATGCACAAATTGTTTTCTTCCGTTACATCTTGCTGGCTGCTTGAGCTGGGAGAGTGAGTGTGGAATGGGAGATCGAGGTGAACAAGCTATTCTTTGACCATTTTGCTTCACTAAACCACGTTGAATGATCAACTGGTGTTGATGAGACAATCAGCCGTAAGTCGTAATCTATACCACTAAGATTTACCACTAAGAATCTTCCCAGGATTCCGGTTATTCGCGGAATTGTGTTGCATTCAGTTATTCACACAGTACCATAGTTTTGTTCTATTCGTTCGATTATTTGCGTGTTTGTCTCTTGCTTATTCTGGAATATATTACTCTGGCAAATCTTGGAATAGAGATGTACTTTCCCAAATTTTAGGAATGTACTTTCAGGATCAAATGTTGAGTCATAAAAGGCGATCCCGAAGACGTCACACTCCAAATACACATTTGAGACGTTTAACGCAAGCGTATCTCACACCGGTTAACCAGTTTCAACCATTGGTCGTTCGTACTGCATACGACAAAGTGGATAATGTCTACTACTTAGGTTGGTGCATCATAAAGAATAGTGTATTAATAGATATATTCTTGTAATATTGTAATATTCCTGAAACAGATGGATGGAGAGAATACTATTAGATGTTATTATAGAGATTTGAAGAAATTTCATCCTAATATTCATTATGTTTCCTGGATGAAGTTGAAGTAAATTTCAAAGTAACGAAGACAGATTTGAACAGTGTTTGTTAAATGAACTTTGAAACTATCTCTATTTTCTTTTTGCAGTACAAAAGCTTATATTGAAACAACAAAGTGTAACTAGCGGATTGTTTCCACGATATTCAAAAAATTGTGAAATTGGCTTTGTCAAGGATAGCATCTATTGTGCTTTGGCATGTTGGACTTGTTCGATTGCTTACAGGCAATTTCGTACTTCTCTAATAATCACTCAAGAATGGATTAGATCAAATTATCAAACATAGGAAGCAAGGAAACACTTAAAATTGAGCAGGTGCAATATCTTGTCCCAAAATTATTGTTTGTAATAGTCTTCCAGACGACTGGACGATGATCGAGGACGACAAACGGAGTTGAAGCAGTCTGCTGTGAAAACAATGCGAGGAATCATGTTTTGCTGGATGCAACAGCTTGACAACGTATGTCATGAGACTGAAATTGTTGACAAAAGTTTCGAAATTTTTGAACTAAAAATTTGGAAAGAGTAGTAACGGTTGATGAAAAGCTGGTTTGAGATGTTCCTTTGGTTTGAGATGGTTGAGTTTGAGATGCAATGGTTTGAGATGTTCCCAAGGTTCATTTCCTTTTTCGCATATCATGATTTGTAAATTCTTAAGCAGTAGGGTGTGTTATTTGTGTCCATGTAGTGAATAAAGTATTTGTCGGGAATGCCTCAACGAAATGAAAATCGGCCAGGTTAGTTAAAAGTGATGTTTCAGAGATCATTCTGTTTTAGAATTTACTCTAATTCCTTCGAAAATTTCCAAAGATTTTGACCTATTTTACAGTTCAGTGAGTATTCCGATCTCTTATTATCTTTTAGCTCAATCATTTCAAAGAAAATATTTCACCAGAATTCTCTTTGCATGCATGCTTTGATTTGCATACAGGCATGGTTCTTCCAACATCGAACGAAAAGGTGCGGTTAGACATATTAAGCATTTTGTCTGGAGATTTGAAAAAGAAGTTCTCTATTCAAATTGTGGTCTACAGTAGCATGAGTCGGATTTCCAAGACGAAATTTACAATTTATATGCAAGCACAAAATGAGATAATTTTTTTCTGATCTCTTGATTTCTTATTCAATGCTTCCTTCGTCTTTATTTTTATTCATATAAATAATGCCTCAAATATCAGAAATTTGGGCATTTACAAATGGATCTTATTGCATTGTATCTGTTGGCCTTGGTTCAGATGACTGCAGCTGGTATTCAGGTATTTTTGTTTATGTATCATTATTTTGAATTTACCCTTTTCAAATATTTCCACTGACCAACTCAAATAAAGATTAACTGAAAGCGTCTGAGACAAATTAGGTCAAACTGTGTTGCACTATTGCATGCTTCTGTTATTCAGCATAAAATTTCTAAAAAAGGGAAATGCTTCATGGCTATTTTCCTTTTTTAACGTGTACTTTTTGCTAATTTCAACGTTAACGGAAGAAAGAGTATCATTCAACTGTAACTGACTGGAAATGAACCGTAATAAGAAACGATTTATTTGCGTGTTTCTTTCGAAATGTATATCAGAAATTTGAAAATCCAATTAAGGAAATATTTGCATTTTTAGTAATTCTAATAAATAAACAGTTTAAATTCGTCTTAAGTGTTCCCGGTAATGTAAACCATGTTTCGGTTGTACTTTGACGATTCTCAGCTAAAGACATTACTTTCAACAGGTAATTTATACACACGATGAAGTCTGTTTTGTCCAGAATCTTGTTTTCTATATCGAACGAACTTATCGTACACCAGATTTTGGTATGTGGGAAATGGGCTCCAGGTACAATGTTGGTGAACGCGAACTTCATGCTAGCAGTCTTGGAATGGTGAAGGTATGTTTTTGCTGGCGTTTGATTTTTGTTTTACTGTTCATTCAGTTGTAGTAAATAAGGTGGAAAAAAAGTGATTGTTAGGAATCATTATGAGAGATCAAAGTATCATCAACTGTTTCACCCAGTTCAAATTTTGTTTTACTGTTCCTTAAGTTTTATTAAGCACATATTTGCAAAAATACAGGGTTTCATCGAATCCTGTGTTACTCTCATACTTGCAGTTTTCTAACAACTCGCAGTCCTAAATTTCATGAAGATATTGGGTGCTTATTATTCAACCTGTGTTATGAAATACTTCTTACAGGCTGCATTGGAAGCAATAAATGGTTTTAATCTTTATGGGACGACTGGAACTAGTTCATCTGTGATATATGTTGATATTGATGGACATAACAGAAATCGTACTACTTTTGAAACGATTTTGCCCAGGGAAAGCAATTCGAAGGTAAATTGGTCGTTGAGTTCAGAGTTAAGATACTTCAACCGTTTGAAAACTAAAAATGATTTAGTATTCTTACAGAATACAGACGCTGCATTGCTACTATCGATAGGATGGCCAGCTTTTGCAACGCATGATTCAGAACTCTATGAAAAAACATTTAACAAATGTATTCGACGTCTAGAAGGACGATATGGATTGAAGAGGTAGCTTAGTATGAAAGCTTATGACGTATCGTATCATATTATCCCTTTCTATACACTACTTATATTGACGAAGCTTTTTTTTTCTGTTAATATGTCTCATTTTTGCTTGTACAAAATGAGTTTCTTTGTTGAGATTTCTCCGGGATGGCTATCATACTGAGCTTGAAGATGCTTCGAGGCAATATTACGAGGAGCACGAAACATCGCGTTTTGAAAATATCGAATGTCAATTTCCAGTTTTCTTCGCCTATATTGCAATTACTGGTATTAAATATTTAATATAATGAATATTTAGTATAACGTGTCTAAAAGTTGTGTTTTAATGATTTTATCTCAATTGTAATTTATGTGTTTTTCAGCTCATTTTCGCGGAGAAGAAAAATTATCTCATTCTTATTGGCAAAAAGCTAAGGAAATGCTTGTTTTGAGCGAGAAAAGTTGGTCTTACCATTAATGTTTAATATTTTTGGTATGTTTTGATATTTTATATTAAAACAAATCTTCTGTTTATTGTAGTATAGTGTAATGAATTGTGGTGTGATTCGTTTTTATAAAAGAAACTGATGCAGTATGGTCGTGAAGATATATGCTTTTAACTGAAAACTGTTTTGATGCTAGGTGTATAATAGAGCATTTTTCTTCAGCGTCATATTTGGTGATGCCAGAGTGTTACTATATTAATGAAGAAGATATGGATGCTGAAAGAATGGAACCGAATTCTCAGGATTTTTATCCAGTGAGCCAGTGCAAATTTGGTCACCATCTTTGGTCTAATGCTGTTTATCTAATAGCGTTACTTTTAAGTGAGACTTGTTTTTTTGTTTTTTTTTTTGTTTTTTTCAGAATTTTGGGTAGTGATGGTTTACTGGCCTCAGCATTCAGTCATAGTCTTTTGAAGTCTTCAGTCTCAACATGACGGGATGCAAAACTATTTTGCAAATTATCGAGGGTCTGGAGTAAATTATTGGAATCAGTACATTATGGGTTCCATTAATGAATTAACTGGCTTCTCAAATATTGAGTGTATGTAATGTGGTTGGAAGAAAGACTAGCTGGAACCAAGTAAGAATATAGCATAACATGTTGGCGTGAAGTTAGACCTTTCCAACATCGAGTGCATCACACTGAAAGCTCAAGCTTTCATTGCAATTTTGTGCAAGTATGAATAAATCCTAACGAGGCATCACTATTCTTGAAATGCTAGATTCTGTGTGAGTCCGATTTAATAATTTGTACATAGGATTAAGAAAGAGTCTTAATTCAAACTAACATATATGAATTTTCTAGAGGATGAGTACGTTCATTTAACGGACATCGATCCGATCTGTCGACATCTTCCAGCCAGCCAACGGCCAAAATACCAGAATCGTCACTCCGTATTTCAGGTCAACATTATAAGTTTTTTTTGTCATATGGTAATAATAATAATAAAACTGAGGAAGAAGCCGGTATTTCTTTGTTTGAAACGTTCAATATCTTGTTTAGCGTGATATGGAACAAGCAAAAGGAAGCGTAAGTTTGTTTTCAATAGTAGATGCCTGCGTTTCTCTTTTATTTATTATGTCGATTGCAAAGGAAACGATGGACTTCCCAGCAGGTAGAGGGAGGGAAAAAGTTTTTTTTTTTGCTTCTACTAGATTTTTTAACATGAAACAGATGCTAAGTGAAGTTTTAAATTAACAATTGATTTCGAAGTTTCTGGAAATATATTTGTGAGGTATTTTATTCCGCTTCTTTTGTGTTGTAATTTGAGTGTTGTGCTCATTCGCTTCTTTACCAGTGGGTGTCCGCGCCTGGTACGACTACACAGTTGCCATCTTCCATAACTGTAGAGACATTAAGAAACGGAATATATTTCGTAATTTATTTCACTTAGACGGTTTTTTTCCGATATATTAGCGAATGTGTGACATTAATCATGGAACGGAACATACACAGGTCATCCGTTTCAATAGAAAACTTTGCCCCAAATCCTTTTTTTTTTCGCAATTTGCATAGAAGTTTTTTCCTTAAAAATATGGGTTGCAAGAAAGCACCCTGTTAAATGCAGGTTATTATATCTCGTTTTCACTAAAGGGCTATTACATTAAAGGGCTTCTGGGTTCCTCTAATGAAATCCATATTTCAAGTAAATTTCTTGAGGAAATCATATTGAAGATGATGCGGTATCTCGATTATTTGCAAA